GCAGTTTCATGATTGAAGTAGCAGCAAGAAGAGGCAGTCACTTGTTAAGCTTAACGCAGGAATGCTTTACAAACATTCAGAGATGGACTTACACACTTGCTTTACTTCTCTCAGGGATAACTTTGACGGAGATGAAATGCCGGGTTGGTAGCAAAGCTCCAAATGCTATCCAGACCACCGACAGGTCCCCGCATGCCACAGCTGCTCTATCATGTGATGCATACTGCTCCGACGTGCTAACGTTCTGAGGCGAGTTACGGCGTGTCGCAAGTTTTGTGAGCTGCTTTCGTGATATTTAATGGATCGGATTACATTTTTTATTTTTCTCCGATATCCGATCCAGTAATTTAGGTCAGTATCGGACCGATACCGATACGTAATATCGGATCGGTCCATCTCTAGTAATTACCACATTAAAGTTTAGTTTTAATTTAAATTACTGCCTGTCTGAAGCAAATTTTGGTGTAATGATCATAAAGCTACTCACCATTTGCACTTCCAGCTGTCCTTGGGAACATTTTGCAGTGGAGGGTCCAGGCAGTATGTGTGGTAGCTAATGTCACAGTCGTCACATAGCAGCAAGCGGCCAGGATCTGTGGCCTGACCACAGGCCTCACATACGGTACACTCCAGACAGCGCCAGCCTTTGCTTAGCACCACCTTGGTGATCTACGGGGAAATGACAAGGGGACAGTTTCATGTAGTTCAGTTTGCCAAATGCCATTTCTAATGTACAAACTCAATAGCGACATACTATACCTTAATGCCGACACAGAATGGATGGTAGCACTGGCCACACTGAGCACAGGCCAGAAGACGGCCCTCTGCACCAAGACCAAAACTCCCACACACCACGCACATGTCCTGAAAAGGAAGAAAGACACTGACTTTCCCAACTTCCCAAAGCAAGGTTTAGAAAAACCCCTAACACACTACCGCTTAAAACAAAACAAATGAAATCAAATAAAATCCGCAGCTGCTTAATTTCATTTTTTGCAGAATAGGAATTCCTGCCTATTGTCAAACTTTTTGTCAAGTCTGCTTGTCACATACAAAGGTGTTTATATTTTTTAAAAAACGCTTTTGTAAGAGACTGGCATGTTGATGTGCTGGTCCTTAGCAGAGCTACATGTTGTAGCTGTCTACTGTCACCAGGGGGCAGCGTCAAAATATGTGGAACAACCCATAATTTGGGCTGTTCTTGTTATTGTTTGTGCAGTTGTCATTCCTTTAGCTTAGCTACTGAAGTGCAGAACAAAGATGTGACAATATACATATGCAATAACATACTTTTCTAAAGTGAAATGAAACTCAATTTAAAAAAAGAAAGAAAACTGCCTACTGCAGCCATTTTGGGGTGGGGTGGTTCAGAAGGTAGAAAAAGTCATCTGCTAATTGGAAGGTGGGCGGGTTGATCCCTGGCTGCTCCAGTCTGCATGTCAAATATCCTTGGGTAAGATACTGGACCCCAAGTTGCTCTGCAATGTGTTCACTGGGCTATGAATGAGTGTGAATGTTAGCTAGAATGCACTTAAATGTAGAAAAAAGTGCTTGTGTGAATGGGTGAATGAGAAATGTTGTATAAAGTGCTTTGGGTGTAAAGTAGAAAAGCGCTATATAAATACCAGGCCATTTACCATTTTCTAAGCTTGTCCTTCACACTTAATCATATTTATTTTTCCACACCTCTCTCTTTTGTCAGAGGACTGCAAGCACGAATGACAGTACTGTTTGCATTAAGCGTAAATAGCTGCGCTGATAAGCAGTGGTCTTCTTAAAATTCTCTAAAAATTAATGTACTACAATACAAACCCTAGTTTCTGCTTACTTCAAAGTCTTGATTAATATTTTGCAGAGACTGTCAGCAATCACTCATATTTTACAGAGAGAAACAGCACACAGATATGATTTGGGGTAGAGAAAGTAAGAAATAATCAAATTTCAGTGTGATCCTGTGTTATATAATTGACTGTGTTTCCTGCAGGCAGTATCTCCACAGGAATTAATGATCTCCAGTGGGAGAAATCTTTTTAAGCACAGACTGAATTGCAACCCATGAATTTTTGCACGTTGAAGGTCTGAAATTCAAAATGAACCATGTCTGAACACTTATGTGTAAACATAAAGAAAAAACACACCTGTTTTAGTGTAAAACTATCATTGCTGGAAAATATGACCACTGTGTTATGCATTGCATTCTCCTCTTCCTCCTTGACTGGGTATGGGTTTTCTATTGTGGTGACCTGCATATAAGGAGAAAAAAACCCCACAAAATAAACAAAGTGTGACAAACAAAGATAACGCTGCTTGGAATATTTCATTAGGGTCTATAGCTGAAGGGAAAACTAACACCAATTTTAATGTAGTGCAATATCTCAAACGGAAACAGCACATACCCCAGGGTTGATGCTGGGACTCACTCCATTTTTCCCTCTGGCCCTGCCACGTCCTGCTCTACCTGACAGACCAGCCCCTCTTGGCCGCCTCCTCCCGGGAAAGCCTGAGCCTCGCCCCTGTAGATAAAGAGACCAAAAATATAAGCTCTGATAATGACTACATCACATTTTACAAACTAAAGCAGGCAGACAAAAGTGCCAAAGTTGGTTTTACGCTTGCATACGCAATTGATCAGTAGCCAGAGATTTAAAGGTTTCTTTTGTCCTCTGATATATTATTTGAATCTTTTTTTTTTTTACTGCCCAGAGAGGTAATGATTTTCTTTGTTTATATGGATGCAAGCTGCTACTGAAAGTACAGCCCGCACGATGAGTAATTTACCTATTGCAGTCTGTTAGTAATACTTGGCTTTAATGTGTTTTTTAAAAGAACTGTCAGCTTGTTTTAAGGGTCAAAACTACATTTCAGAAATATGTAACATTTGATCATCACGTCAGTGTTTGATATGATGGGGAAAAAAATCAACCTGGTTCTTGACATTCTGATAATTCATGGAAATGACTGTTATTTCAGAGGTACACTTCAATTTTTGCCAGACAACCAGCATGGGAGAAAGTGAAAGAGGCCTCTGAACTGCTGTTACAGCAATACAGTGTTCCACTCTGCCTTTTGCACCTTTCTGACAGCAGGTCTCTAGGTAATCACGAATGACTGACTTATGTTTAACTGAACTTCTCAGTCCCTGCCATTAAAATCCCACAGTTGGCCCTGATCCCAAACTCAGGTCTCGCCTATTCAATATTCCTCCTAATAGGCGCACTGTGTGATGGTATTTAACCTGAGTTACACCCCCTACCATAGAGTACAAATTAACCCTTACCCAGTATTGCTAAGAGTAATGGCTGTCACCATGGCAACAAACTGGCTTAGACTTCTCACAGAGTCTAAATCTGAGAGGAAAAATGTACTTTAATAAATACAGCTACATGAATGGGTTTAAGTACAACACAGAGAACACATTAGTGCATTGTGGACAAAGAGGAAATTGAACACTCAATGCAAGGATCAGCCAATTATCTGAGCTAATATTCAGCTTTTCGTTCTTCCTCTCTCCTAGACTGTCTATATAGTTATTATTTTTTACCATTTTATTTTATTATCTTGATCTAAAAATGTGTTACTTTGGCTCTCATGTAACTTTGATGTATCTGTAGTGACCGCTTTGTGGTCTCAATGCCCTGCCCACAGCTCCCGTTTGGTTAAATGTAACACTTACAGCTACTGTGCAACAAGGCAGGTGCAATGCACCTGGATTCTCATGAGACCATGATCACAATCACAAAAGAATCCATCTTGACTAGCTTTAGCTTTGTGGCTATAGCTGAAGTTGTTTTCCACAAAGTCTTTACCGTTCAAACTGTTGCCCTTTCTCTCTTTGTATAATCTGTGAACCTCCGTACTGATATGATTAAAATGGCGATAAAAACTGATACAATTGTACACTTGTGCCTGTAACCCAGCCATGGTGGCAGCAACAGAATGCTTTAGGTTACAAAAATCGAGAGGTGCACAACCAGCCAAAGTGACACCAAAATGGCCGCAAGCGCCAGCGGATGTGACGTCAAGGGAGCAAGCGGTGAGCATAAAAGTGCCATTAGGCATAACATAAGAGACTTGTTTTTATTGATAGCCTGCGAGGTTTTCTTTGGTATTCTTTACAAAGATGGCAAAATGAAAGTCTAACCACCTAGCCAATAAATGCACATGTACCCTCAGTGCAATTGGTAGCTCTTATTCTGCTCTCTAGCATTGGTGAGCTCAGCATAGCAGCACCCTTTAGCTTACACTGGATTGCCAAGACAGGACCTTCACTATTAGTTGTAGCAGCTTCCTTGGGAAGAAGCTACAATACAAGGTCCTCCACAATAGTAGCTTGGTCATTGAGCCAGTGGAAATTGGTTAACAGAAACTAAACACCAACATGAGAGCGAGAGGTTTGTCTACAAGTAAGTAAGTAAGACAGCCGATGGCTCTGGAGGGTGGAAAAAAAACACCTAAATGAACTGGCGAATAAATGTAAAATACTTTACTGACCCAACTGGGTAAAATCTCTACGTGGGAGCTTTTGAAACTCCTCCCTTCAGCTGGTTTTTCCTCTTCGCCAAGCACTGTGCCCTACAGTATGTTGCCCTGATGGTTTGAAGTTAGCTTTTGGATTGATGTTGATAAACAGTTGGGTTCATCAAGTATTTTTTAGAGGAAAAAAACAAAAACAAACACTTGCTAGATTGCTCTGTTTAAGGTCTGAAATTAACACCAAGAACC